TCCAACTGGGCGTTGGTTCATAACTTGTAAAATTCATATCTGGCCGGTATCCCCTGTGGAATATATGAGTGTTAATATAAATTCAATATAGCAAAAATAAATATCGTAACACAAAGGAAAATTAAAGTTTACCACTCGTCTTGTGAATTATGTAAACTAGGAGAGAAATTATTTCCTCGCTCCTCATTTGCCCGTGGAGATAAGTTTAGATCATGCCAAACTCTTTCAGCCGGAACCTGTTCGGCTAAAACTGCTCCAAAATAACCACACGATGACTGAGGGATATCACTGCTTTGCGCAACCTCATTATTGCGAACGTCTTCAACCTTGACGTATATTTCCAACATTTTTATCACAAGAAATTCTCAGTATTCATCCGGAGTCCTCAAAAAATCTCTCATAGTTTCATCGTCCTCGATGTTAAACTCAGCATAACAATCAACCCTTGCGGAGTGACAGAATACGGATATCTTCCGGTTACTTTAAGGTTCACCGAACGTTTGCATAACAACGATACCAATTTATCTTACTCCATTGTAAGTGGCAACTTAACATGACACTGTGGAGATAAACTATAGGTTACTGAGTTATTCGCCACCATAACCTCACCCCCAATATAATAAAACCCTTACTTTTCGCTATTCAGATATTATGACAAAATGCAAAATAACTTAACAAAAAAATATTTCAGAAGACTTGAGAATATTTATGAATGGATTTTTAAAAAATTCTTAACCTCCTTAAATAGGGCAAAAAACCAGTCCGGGGTACAATTGTTTTAGGTATAGCGCCTTAAATAAGGGCGCTATACCTAGTTGAATTATTGTTATGTTAGTTAAGCCCAAAAGAATTATTTGTGGGCACACAAAATATGTATAGCGCCTTAATAAACGGTGCTATACTTGCCCGTCTTTTCAAATTCAAGTATAACGCCCTTTAAAGGGACGTTATACATATTTTTGTCAGTATATTTTTTTTCTACATATTTCGATCGTTTATGTCCAAAAGAATCACATTTTGATTCCGGACTGCTAGTCACGCCTAAACATGTGCCGGGAGTTTTTGGCTTTGCTTCAAAGGGAGAATAACTCTGTTCCGTTTGACGACACTGATATACAGGGTACACCTGTTGATCCAAATAAAGAGAAAAAGGAATAACGAATATATATATATATATAAATAATAGTAAGAAATAATTCCAGCTATTCTAAAATTCATTTATTTTTATTATTCTTAAATCAAAACCTAAAAAACATCTGAGAAAACAGAGCATTGCGTAGGCCGAACAGAAAGAAATGCCACTGAAGGAAATCACAAGGTAGCAAATCTACCCAAGATTCTTTATTTATATCAGAAAAGAGAAAGGCAAAAACAGAACTTTCTGGAACTGTTCTTCAAATTTTGGGTAAGTAGTGAAATCCCTTATCTCGTTTCAGCTTCATTCTTGTTTCATCTTTCATTTTTTTTTTCCTCTGCTGATTTTGTGTTCATTTTCCATCAGGGGTAAGGTTTACTATGTAGACCCATTTGGGTCTTTTTTGCACATTTTATGAGATGACGATCTTGGTTGTGTTTAGTGTTTTTACTCAATTTTTGCGTTAAAGTTAAAACTTTATATTTTTTGTTGCCAATGTCGTTGCAGCTTATTTGTGTGTTATGTTCAGATTTTGGCTTATGCTTTGAAATTTGATGATTTTGGTGTATTTAATATTTGCTTGCTTAATGGGTCGAAATAAAGTAAAGAAGCTTTTTTGCTTATAACGTTGATTGCTTATTTTATTTGTTTGTTTGTTTCTTCTTTCTATGGTTTTAATTTAATTTTTACAGTGGCTGATATTTTCGTATGTGGACCCAATTGAGGTATCCTGAGCTTATTCTTTGTGATGCGATGATTTTGTGTATTTTTAGTATTTCTTGCTTTGCTTAATCTTTGGGTTAGGCGCGCATCACATGTTTGAACTGTGCCCATTATCCACTGAGTTTCGAATTGTGAGTCACACACAATGGGCCTCAGGGATTTATCAGTTAACAAAAAAAAGTATTTCTTGCTTCACTTAATGTTTGAAATGATCTAATTTGCATCAATGTTAAACACTTTGCTAACTATCCATTTCACTGCCTTTTTTTGAAAATGCTTTTTTAACAACTTGATTGCACAGAAAATAAGAAAATGTGGATCTGTGAATTTGTACCCGTTGTTTTGTGCATGATGTGTTCTTTAAGCTTCTTCATCTGGTGGAATTTTGATTTTGTTCTTGTTGTGTTATTGGGACACACCTTTCTGTGGTTATTGAAATCAGAATGACTCAAATTCTAGTCTGTAGTTGTGTTGACATGAGCATATAATTGTAGGATGTGAACTTAGTCACACATTGACTGAAGTTTCTCGAATTTGAAATATGCAGGGCGAGATAGTACCACCATGAGTGCTAAAACCAAGAGGAGAACGGCCACAGAAAATGGGGACACAGCCACCGCAGAAGATTCTGTTCTTGTGACTATGATCAATAATGGGGAAGATCTAGGTCCTATGGTCAGGCTTTCTTTTGAAAGCGGGAAGCCTGATGCCCTTCTACAGCAGCTTAAGAATGTCGTCAAAAAGAAAGAAGTTGAAATAGAGGAGCTCTGTAAGCTTCACTATGAGGAATTTATTGTTGCGGTGGATGAGCTGCGCGGAGTCTTGGTTGATGCAGAAGAGTTAAAAGCTGAGTTGCAAACTGATAATCTGAAGCTGCAAGATGTTGGGAGTACCCTTCTTTTAAAACTTGAGGAGTTTCTTGAATCTTATTCAATTAAAAAAAATGTTACAGAAGCGATTAAGATGTCAGGCAACTGTGTCCAAGTGTTGGAACTTTGTGCTAAGTGTAACAATCACATTTCTGAAGGTCGGTTTTACCCTGCTCTGAAGGCTGTTGATCTCATTGAGAAAAATTATTTGCAGCACATTCCTGTCAAGCCACTCAGGACTATGATAGAGAAGAGAATACCACTGATTAAATCTCACATCGAGAAGAGAGTAACCAGTGAAGTTAACGAATGGCTAGTTCACATAAGGAGTACAGGAAAGGATATTGGGCAAACTGCAATAGGATATGCTGCATCTGCTCGTCAGAGGGATGAGGATATGCTAGCCCGTCAAAGAAAAGCAGAGGAACAAAGTTGTTTGGGTTTGGGAGACTTCACTTATACCCTTGATGTTGAAGAGATTGATGAAGAATCTGTTTTAAAGTTTGACTTAACGCCTCTTTATCGAGCATATCACATTCATGGTTGTCTGGGGATCCAAGAACAGTTTCGTGAATATTACTACAAGAACCGCTTATTGCAGCTGAGTTCAGATTTGCAGATTTCCTTGTCACAACCATTCCTAGAATCTCATCAAACCTTCTTGGCTCAGATTGCAGGTTATTTCATTGTCGAGGATCGGGTATTAAGGACTGCTGGTGGGCTGCTCTTGCCAAATCAGGTCGAGACAATGTGGGAAACAGCTGTGGGTAAAGTAACATCACTCTTGGAGCAACAATTCTCCCACATGGATACTGCTAGCCATCTCCTCATGGTCAAGGATTATGTGACTCTTCTTGGGGCTACCCTCAGACAGTATGGCTATGAAGTGAGCCCAATTCTTGGGACTCTAAATAGTAGTAGAGAAAAATATCATGAGCTTCTCTTGGCAGACTGTAGGCAACAAATAACTGCTGTAGTCACCAATGATACATTTGAGCAGATGGTAATGAAGAGGGAGTCAGATTATCAGGCAAATGTCCTATTGTTCCATTTACAAACCTCTGATATAATGCCAGCTTTCCCTTTTATTGCTCCATTCTCTTCCATGGTTCCTGAATGCTGTCGCATCGTTAAGTCATTCATCAAAGATTCTGTCAATTATTTGTCATATGGGAGCCAAATGAACTTTTTTGATTTTGTCAAAAAGTATTTGGATAAGCTCTTGATTGATGTACTGAATGAAGTCCTACTTGAGACTATTTACAGCGGTACTACTGGTGTGTCTCAGGCAATGCAAATTGCTGCAAATATAGCTGTTTTAGAAAGGGCTTGTGATTTTTTTCTTCAACATGCAGCCCAACAATGTGGCATTCCAGTCCGTTCAGTTGAAAGGCCTCAAGGCAGTTTAACAGCCAAGATTGTCCTCAAAACTTCAAGAGATGCTGCTTATATTGCACTGCTAAGCTTAGTAAATGCGAAATTGGATGAATTCATGTCACTCACAGAAAATGTCCATTGGACAGCAGAAGATGCACCGCAGCATGGCAACGAATGCATGAATGAGGTCGTTATATATCTTGACACCCTCTTGTCCACTGCTCAACAAATTTTACCTCTTGATGCTTTGTATAAAGTTGGGATTGGAGCTCTTGAGCATATCTCCAATTCAATTCTGGGAACTTTTCTCAGTGACTCGATAAAGAGATTCAATGCTAATGCAGTAATGAGCATCAACCATGATTTGAAAGCATTGGAGTCCTTTGCCGATGAGAGGTTTCACAGTACTGGGTTGAGTGAAGTTTACAAGGACGGTAGCTTTCGAAGTTGCTTGATAGAAGCTAGACAATTGATAAACCTCCTTCTAAGCAGTCAACCAGAGAACTTTATGAATCCTGTCATACGGGAGAAGAACTACAATGCTCTAGATTATAAAAAGGTTGCCACTATCTGCGACAAGTATAAGGACTCAGCTGATGGACTCTTTGGTAGTCTTGCAAGTAGAAATACAAAGCAGAGTGCTCGTAAGAAATCAATGGATGTGCTGAAGAAGAGATTGCGGGATTTCAACTGAAACTTGTGATAAATGAATAAGAAACTAGCTTTTTCTGTTAGAAATAAATGAATTCTTTATTTCTGCTGAGTTTTCTCCTTAAAGATTCACATTAATTGTATCTTCGTTCTCAATCATGTTAGCACTAGTTTGGTTATTTGGAGAAGCACTCCTCCCACTTCCCTCCCTTTTCCTTTTGTTCCAGATCAGTTTTGCAGAGAGGACGCCACTGAATCTATTTGAAAGTATGTCTTCATAGACCATTTACGTGAGACGAAATGCAAATGTAGTTAGTGGAACTCCAGATGCATTTCGTATTAGATCTATAACCGAATATCCTCTTGCGTTTACCCATGATGCAGCTCCCTCTATTGGTGTACTTACATTTTTTTCTTGTTGCAGAAGTACAAGACTCAATTACCTATTTTCCCTGACTAATTTTTTTATTTCATTCAGTCAAGATGAAAATATATATCTTTTATTTGTCGTGTACTGAACAACTTAGCATTCAATCCTGGAACATGTTATTGGGAAACCTACTGCCTAAAGAGAATCATTACCTCCTTCAAGAACCTAAAACTCATATTCGGTTAAGCTTCCTTCTCTATTATTATTATTATTATTATTATTATTATTATTATTATTATTATTATTATTATTATTATTATTGTGATTTGTTTTTGACAATTTTTTTTGTCTTTACTTCTGTTTCACCTCTTCTGCTCTCGTATTTCATCTTTACAGGAATAATGAGTTCTGCGTCATTGGAATGTTCTCTTTGATACGGATATTAGAATTTTGCTACTGCTTTTTACATTTCTCTTTTGTTTATCATTAACTTACTCTTACTCATGCTGTAAGTGTTGCTCTTCAATGTGTTTATTCTGGTGGTCTCAAACTTCCTTCTTGAAAGAGAAGTTCTGCATACAATGTCTTGTTATTTTGGGAGAGTACTTGGACCCGTGCTGAACGAAAAGGGGGTAGATGTGTCTTGTGCTATTGCAGCAAAGTTCTAAACATAAAGAGGGTTCAATGATTTCTCTTATTTTGCCTGATATGCAGAAGCTGATCAGTACTTTCGCCGCAGACTTTTTTCGTTCTTCCCTCATGCTTATTCACTATAGATTCAATTCAGGTGGCTGCGTGTACTCTCTTGCTTTTACTTTTTGATTTAATAGTTTGGCGGTGTTTGTCCTTGCTGTTATCATGTCCTAATATTTGTGTGACACATTCTAGATGTTCTTGTGATTCTTATTGTTTCAGTTGTTGACTCACTGAAGCTTTTAACTTCTGAAAAATGACCGTTAAGGGGATAACGGAATGTGCTTGCGCCCTTCAGACATTATTCATCAGGTGGTTGAGTTGGCATTTCAGCTTCTTGAGTGTCCCCAAGATCAAGCCAGGAAAAGACAGCCTTATTTGCTGCTGCTGCATTTGTTTTCAGAGCTGTTTTAGATGCTTTTGATGCTCAGAGCAGCTTACTGTTCTCTTATTTATCGACTATTTTCCCAACAGTACGCAATGTTTGAACGTTATTTGCCTGACTTGCTTCAGTATGCTCTGGGTCATTTCGTCACTTTTGTGTATTATAGCCGCAAAGGCGCAAACAAATTGTAAATGCAACATGAAGTAATGCTCGTGTGGGTATAGATGTTGTTCTGGATGCAGCAAGCAGTGCTGGTTATGTTGAACCTGAGGTAACTCAATGAACTACACCCATTGTTTCCTTTTGTAGCTATATAGATGCTTATTCATTTTTCGTTTTTCTGTTGGTAGACTGTTGAACAGCACTGAATGTGTTAATTTGTCTCGTATGTCCTCCACCATCAATCAGCAACAAACCATCTGTCTCCACTCAAGCACGGCAAAATACGTCCATCCAATCTGTCCTGGTGTGAAGATTAGAGACAGAAATGCAGACTGGAGTGAGATTAGAGACAGAAATGCACAAGGGCGTCAGACTAGAGAAAGAAGTACAGAGCTCATCAAGTCTAGAGAAATAAATGCAGAGTGGAGTGAGACAATTGACAGAAATGTAGAGCGAAGCATTCCAAATCGAGGTGTTAATGTTACCACCCAGCATGAAAACCGAAATGAAGAATCTGCTTTGGTAGACCGAGGCAGCACAGCAGATCTTGGAACATTCTCGGTCAGTGGTACTTCTCAAACACCTGTTTCTACAGTAGTATTTGGACATGAGGTGAAATGATAGTCATATTATTAAATTTACAGCTGCTAAATTCTTCATGAATTATAGGGAAGTAATTGATTTCCATTATGAAAATTCTTCTTGTGCGTATTCATGTATGCATCTCCAACCATTAGGATATAACGGCTATTCTTCTGCACTATTTTCTATGATAACGTGAAGATACTAGTGCTTAACATGAAGGATGGAGAAGGACCAAAGTATTTTAAATCAGATGATGATCCGACAAACAAAGAAAGGATGAAATTGGAAGGGGAAAAAAAAAACTTACTCTACCTCTTCATTAAAATGTGTTAACGTGATTAAAGTTTGAAGTCTTGATTAGGAAAACTTTATTTAAGTTTGATTAGATGTTCCCTCTCTCCCCCTACCATCTCCCTCCCTCCCCCCACCCCCAAAAAAACCCAAGAAACAAGAGTATATCCAAAGTGAGGGGAGTGGACGCGGTTGCATTTGTTGTGGAAATGTTTTGGTGGTTCCAACAACAACAAACTCAGTATATTCCCACAGGTTGGGTCTGAGGATGGTAGTGTGTATGCAGATCTTACCCCTACCTAGTGAAGGTAGAGACTTTTGGTGGTTTCAATAGCGTGAAAATTAATTCAGAAGAAGATAGTTACGATGAGGAAGGAACAAGCACCCTTTTGGNAATTATTACTTTAGATAACCTTTTAAGAGATCAAGGGGAAAAAAGGAACCACCCTTTAAGGTTTTCCAGGGCATTTTGGATTTTGGTCGTCCTTTTTGTCTGCATTGTGAGTTCTACTTCCAACCTCCATTTCCAACCAAGAGGTTGTGAGTTCGAGTCACCCCAAGAGCAAGGTGGGGAGTTCTTGGAGGGAAGGATGCCGAGGGTCTATCGGAAACAGCCTTTCTACCCCAGGGTAGGGGTAAGGTCTGCGCACACACTACCCTCCCCAGACCCCACTAGTGGGATTATACTTGGTTGTTGTTGTTGTTGTTTTTGTCTGCATTGTGCCTGGTTTCCAGAAGCCTTTCTATATGCAGTCTATATAATGGCAACAAAAGTGTGTTATATTGCATCTGTACAAGATGTTTGATTGTTCTATGAATATCATTTTATGCTCATTTTCCAAGTTGAATTTTCAATATGTTCAAGACCTGCGCTGCAGCTGTCTTTGGGTCACAGCTGAATCAGTTTAATGTATAGTGGTCTTCAGTTTGGACCTCGGTGGTTTGGATCAGGATAAACTTGTTCAGTGATATTGTTTGTTCCAGGTTGGGGGAAAACTGTTGGAGCTCATCTGTGATTCAGGAAACCGTACTGCTGGCAGTGAATAGAATCGGTGGCAATGCTTCTTTCATTGCCTTTATCCCTGAAAAGAAAGGGGTAATAGAGCTTAAAGATTACAGGCCAATAAGTCTTATTGGCAGTGTTTATAAGATTGTGGCCAAGTTGTTAGCAGAAAGGTTGAAGAAGGTCATTGGCAAGCTAGTCTCTAGTCACCAGAATGCATTTATCAAACACAGACAAATAACTGATGCAACTCTCGTAGCCAATGAGGCTCTAGATTGGAGGATTAAAACTGGACATCCGGGTATTATGTGCAAGCTTGATATAGAAAAGGCTTTTGACCAGTTGAACTGGGCTTATCTCATCTCTATACTGAGGAAGATGGGATTTGGAGATAAATGGATAAGGTGGAGGATCAAATTCAGCATTTCAACAGTCTAGTACTCGGTGCTTGTCAACAGAGAACCAGCAGGCTTCTTCTCACCCCAGAAAGGGATTAGACAAGGAGATCCACTCTCCCCATTCTTGTTCATTCTAGCCATGGAGGGGCTAAGCAAGATGTTGGAGAAGGCCAGAGAATTACAGTGGATTCAGGGATTCAGAATAGGCTCAGATATTGGGAGCTCAATCACTATCTCTCACCTGTTGTATGCTGATGACACTTTGATTTTCTGTGAGGCCGAGAAATCTCAAGTTATGTACCTGAATCTAACACTTCTCCTCTTCGAAGCTCTATTAGGGTTACATGTCAATGTATTGAAGAGTACAATTTATCTTGTCAATCATGTGCCCAACATAGAGGAGCTCTCAGGTATCATGGGCTGCAGTATTGGGTCACTACCTACCACATACTTGGGTCTTCCATTGGAGCCAAATTCAAAAATTGTGAGGTATGGAATGGTGTTATTGAAAAATTCGAGAGGAAATCAACTTCTTGGCAACTTCAATATCTTTCTATGGGGGGCAGATTAACTCTCATCAATAGTGTACTAGATAGTATTCCAACATACTACATGTCACTGTTTTCTATTCCCAAGAAGGTGCTAAAGCAATTGGACAAAATCAGGAGAGACTTTCTCTGGGAGGGCAATAGCAACACTCAAAAGTACCACCTAATAAAGTGGGGCAAAGTCACACGGCCAAAACTAAATGGAGGTCTGGGAGTCAGAGATCTAGCTGTCCACAACAAATGTCTGCTAATGAAATGGCTTTGGAGGTATGGAACAGGAGAGTCAAGCCTTTGGAAGCAGGTGATCAATGCCAAGCATGGGAAAAGAGACAACTGGAGTTCTAATAGTTCTAATGCATCATATGGAGTGGGTCCTTGGAAGTACATTAGTAAACTGGGGGATGAATTCTTTCAAAATATCTCTTTCAAACCAGGTAATAGGGCTCACATCAGATTCTGGAAAGACAAATGGCTAAACTATACAGCACTCATGGATGAGTATCCTAGCTTATACTAGATTGCTCTAGACAAAAATTCCTCCATAGCACATAACAGAAATGGCAGTAGTTGGGATGCTCATCTTAGAAGGCCAGTGCTTGGGAAGTGGATAGCCTGATGGATATGCTAGCAAAAGTGGAAGGGTTCAATATGGATGTGAACCAACCCGACACCATATGTTGGGGGAGAATTGGCACCTTCACAGTGAAAGAATGTTACAGACAGTTTGGTACTTAGAATCAAGTGTTAGATGCATGGCCCTGGAAGTTAATATGGAAGACTAAGTTACCTATTAAAGTCATTTGTCATAACTGGATTGCGCTCAATGAGGCATGTTTAACACAAAACAACCTAAACAGAAGAGGTTTTCAGTTGGTCAACAGATGCTACCTCTGTAGGGAGAATGAGGAAACTGTCAACCACCTATTTTTGCACTGCCCAGTGGCCACCGACCTCTGGAACATGTTCAACTGTCTTTCTGGTTTGAAGTGGGTCATGCCACAGAATTTGAGAGATGCACACATGAGCTGGAGTTTATGGAGAGTTGATAAGACCATCAAAAAGATCTGGTTGATGATCCCTGCTGCTATTTTTTGGTGTTTATGGAATGAGAGGAATTGCAGATGTTTTGATGGAATCTCAACTCCAAATCACTTTCTCAAAGCTAAATGCTTACTCAATCTTTTTTGCTGGACTAAGTTAGCTAATGTAATCAGTACTGACCAATTAATGGATTTTGTTAGCTCCTTTGTCTTAGAATGACAAGATGTAGAGGGACTAACATGTAGTAGTATTTATGCATTCCAATTTCCTTGTAACGTTGCATCTCCTAGATGCCTTTTGTTAATGAAACAACTTCATCAAAAAAAAGAATAGAACCGGTGGCAAGCAGTACTTGCACATGTGGCTATTCAGCTAATATGGGTAAGACCAAATATCATTTATTTGTGCTTTTGGAGTGAGGTTGGCCAAATTAAATAGTAAATTCATTTTGATTTTATTGATTTCTTTGGGGAGGAAAGGGGCATCTAGTTTATGGTTTCCTGAACTAGTTTCCTGTCCAGTTAAGCATTTCTATTTTTAGACATCTGGATTTTAATTCCTCCGACTTTCAAATTTTGATCCAAGTGTTTCCTTATTGTAACTCGTTGGTCAGTAGACTGACAATCTTGAGGGAGCACCTCCAAAACTATAGTTGTAGCTTAGAACAAGCAAGTACATATTCGGAGTAGTTTACACTGCTATACTAGATGGATGACCTAGTTTATCAATAACAATAACAATCCCAGTGGAATCCCACAAGTGGAGTCTGGGGAGTGGAGAGGGTAGTGTGTACGCCGACCTTTCCCCTACTCCGGGAAGGTAGAGAAGTTATTTCCGATAGACCCTGGGCTCAAGGGATGACCTAGTTCATCAAGCATGGAGATTAATTTAGACAGAAGTTTTAATAGCGATGGTGTGAGATTGTATTAGTTTTGTTATTGGGGAGAAGTGAGTAAACGAGGAAGAATGAAAAAGAGACACGGGTCAAGTAACTTTGAGACTGACGTAGTGTAGTAGGTTGCTTCTTAGTATAATGATGATTATTTTTATAAGTAGTGTAACAGGTTGCTTATACCAATCATTTTTCTAGTCACTCTCTTTCTCTCTCAAGTATGATGGTACTAATATATTGTCCCTTCCTTTCTCTTCTCGTATTTTTCGTCTTCTTGAGCCGAGGGTCTTTCGGAAACAGCCTCTCTACGTACACTCTACCCTTCCCAGACCCCGCTTGTGGGATTTTACTGGGTCGTTGTTGTTGTCTCTTTCTCTCTCAAAAATAATTGTTAATACATAGGATGAATTTCTGTAGCATCTTTTTGTGTTTTGTAGGTTGTTACTGATTCTGGGCGTGCCAGTTGCTGCCACCCCAACCTTGAGGCATATAGAGAGAGCTTTTATAGCTGCTGCTACTCCAATTACATGCCACGAGAAGTTGGTGTTTTCCACGATTCGAAATTTTTATCACCAAATTCTGTTTTGAGAGATTGCTGTCTCAAGCCCCTGTGTAGCAATGGTTTGTTGACTTCAATGGTGTCTTCTCAACATGGCTTTCGACACAGAACAGTTAATCTTGGACTCGGTGGTTGTTCAGTACCTAAAGCACCAATCTTTTGCTCCTATCACTATGTTACATGTCTGTCCTGATTCCTGGACGAAGGCGAATCCTTGATGCTGGTTCCTATTGTAAGTAATGGTTATGGCTTTCAATTGCCAGAAAATTATGCTGTAAATTAATGAAAGAATATCCTGTAGCCTCCTCCTCAACATTACAATACCGTGTTTTGCTAGTTCAATTTTGTCTTCTTTTTGTTTCATCCTGATTTATCCATTTTTGAGGCCAGCAAACATGTTCATGTGAGTTCAGATATGAAAATTTGAATTTTTCATGCAGCTAATCCTCTGTGTGAGCAATTTTAACGAATATGAAAATTACATGTTGAGTGCCGAGCCGCCTCTCTTAGCGGGGTGAATAGAAGGGGAAACTTGATATGATGTGAGATTCAATTGGCGTAGTAGTTTAACCTAATGCTTTTGATGATGACTTGGAAAATAATATTGGTAATAGTGAAATAAACTACCAAAATATAGTAATAGTCTTTTAAATAACATTTGAGAAAATATCACGTTCAATTCTAAATTCAAATTGTTAAATGAGTTATAAAAGATGTACAAGTACTAAAACCTTTCTAGTATTTGCATGAATTTCTAAAATATCGTTTTGAAAATGAAAATGTATGCAATGTAAATAAATGAGAAATCATTGTTTAGAATTATATCAAACATGTGTATGGATCATGAGCATTCAAATATTTATAAAAAGAAAAACACTTGTGCTCGGTGATCTAAAAGGTCTGAATGCGGCATGTAAAGATTATCAAAATTATATTTTTGAACATTAGATTACACCCATTTTATGGTTTGAATAATTAGTTATCCAAACATTTATCAATTTTAACGACATGTATACCCATTTTCACTTTGGAAAATATTGATGGAGATCCCGACAATATTCTCAATGTTTAAAGATGAAACTATCCAATCCATTAAAGTAAAATTCCTTATGTGAAGCGCTAAAATAATTTATCATACACATAAAAGAGCGTGATTCGCTCTATCTTAGAGTGTAGCAAAGACGGAAAAAATTTAGAGGATGAAAGACAATGTTAAGCTTTTTGGAGTAGCAATTGTCGTATACAATTCCTTTGGGCCCTTGGTTGTCTTTATCAATCTATAAAAATATGTATTTTCTTACCTTATTGAGCATCTCACGATAATATATATTTATTTTCACTCCGTAAAAAATTGGATATCTAAAATATATGGATGGAAAATTTCTCTTTTGATTTTGATTTTTTTTTTTTTTTTGGATGAAGTAAGGGAATTTCATTAAATGACATCAAGAAGATGCATAGCAAAAATTACAACATAAAGGTATTATCTGCTCATATGCAGAAAACTTACAGGACAACTAAGGAGCAGACAAAATCCAGAAATCGTTCAACACTAGTTACAAGGCCCTGATTGAACCAACTAAATAAGTTAATTAAACAAGTGGCTTTAAGAGTGTGGTTGGGAGTTGAAATCCCATCAAAACATCTACGGTTCCTTTCATTCCAAATACTCCAAAAAAATAGCACTAGGTACCATTGACCAAGTCTTTTTGATGGATTTCCCAACTCTCCAAGAACACCAATTCTCATAAGCTTCCTTGATATTGTTTGGCATAACCCAGGCAAGTTCAAAAACTGATAAAAACATACTCCAAATATCAGTTACTACTGAACAGTGCAAAAAAAGATGCCTCACACTCTCTGATACCATCTGACACATATAACATCTATTCATAGTCGGTATACTTCTTCTGCTAAGATTATCTTGAGTAAGACAAGTTCATACAATGTTGTCCACATAAAGCCAACTACTTTTGCCTCCTCTTTTGATTTCTTCTGTTGTAAACGACTTTGATAACTACTCTTGCTCCCAGTGTCATATGTATGAATTTAACTTTTTAATTAATTAATTTACTTTGAGCCGGCTTTGAGTGAACGAAATATGAGCTTTATTGGAATGATGCTCTTCTATTAGCAAAGCATGGCTTTATACCTACTTTTCTCTCGCAATAAATTCTCTAAACAAGACTTCTGTAGTACTAATAATAAATGAAATCAGGAAAGTGGATCTTCTTGTTGGACATCCCTTTTTAATTTTGAATAAGCCATGTTGTTATCCATTAATCAGGATAAAGTACACATTCTTACAAAACACATGGGAAACAATGTCGTGCAACACCTTTCTTCATTTGTATTTATAGTTTGGAGTTAATAGTCTAAATATAGATAATGTTCGTAAAAGAACAGAAAGATAATGAAAGCCTGAAGAATTAACCAATCCTGTAAATATTATAGTGACTTATTAAAATATTTATATAGAAAAATAAGCAGTGGTCTAGAAGAGACGTGATTAAATTTACTCGTGGCATTGACTACGACTCAAGGGCAAGAAGTTGAAATGCGTTTGTGTAGCTTGTAAGCTTTAGTCTTGTCAACAAGGCGCAACTTGATTAATGAATGTGTTGCACTAAATAAATGAAAGCTAGTAGAACCATGTCATGAATTGTTATTTAGACGGAAGTCCTTCGTACAAAGGCTCTATTTCTCGATGCAAGGCAAACGCAAATCATTCTTTGTAAAAACTTCAGGGGGAAATCTCCCTTCCTCAAAACCGAGTTCAATTGCTTATTATACCTAGAGCTTTCAAAATCCTTACACAATGCATAAGCTATAAAGTACATTGGGTCCAATATGAAAAACCGAATGTTTAAGAAAATCATGTTTGGTAAATCTTCTTTTAAATTTTTTACTTGTTCAATTTATGATATATGTGATAATGCTGGTCAAAACCAAGGCTGCTAAGGCAATTGCATACTTCATCTGTAACTCCACATACCTTATTGTATAATTTGCTCTTGTATAGACATTTATACAAATATCAAGATACTAAATACCGGGTATGCAAATGCAAAATGGGCTGGATCTCCACTCAATGTGTCATTCATGTGTAGTTAATATGTTTTGGTATGTGGAAACCTAATCTCTGCAAAAGAAAGACGCAAATATTAAAAGATTTGGTTGCCATATTGTATAATTTAGGGAAATAATTACTTGAGGAATTAAAGTTCAAAGAGGTAATGCAGATAAAAATGATTTGTGAAATAAAAGTTATCATTATAACATGTTAAAACCCAAACTATTATCCAGAGCAAGAACAAAATAATAAAAGTTGGGAGGATTTCATTCAGCAGTACTAAATAACCAAAATCTTTGATCTAAAAGATCAAATAGTAAACGATACACTAACTTAACTCATCATCTCTGAACATTAAAAGCTACCAAAAGCCACATCCAGCAATAACCAGAAAAGACCAGACCCAGATATCACAGATAGCTTCCCAATGATCTTAAGCAGCAATAGATGGCTTAGAAGCTGCAGACAGTCTAGACCTCTTCTTAGCCAGACTCTCACTGCGCCTTTCTCTTTGCTCCTTCAACCTAGTAGCTAAAAGCTTCTGGTACTCAGCTGCTTCTGACTTAGCCTTGGCAATTCTCTTCTTCTTGTCTGCAATTCTTGCTCTCTTCCTTTGGAGAGTCAATGGTGTTACCAGCCTCTGGATCTTAGGAGCCTTGCTAGCCTTTTTCCCTGTCACCATAAAGCACCATAATTAACATTCAAAGCAAAGGTTGAAGAGCATATTAACTTCCAACATTGACCAACTCTGATCAGCACAAAAAAAAATGCAAGTAGATTTATCAGTAGAAAACTAACCATTTTTGGTCGTGAAATTTCGACGGTAGGTATTGACGTACTTCCTGACGTCATCTTCCTTGGAAAGGTTGAAGAGCTTCCTAATCTTGGAAGCCCTTTTGGGTCCTCTCATCCTTGGTTTCTCAGTGTCTGTCAGTCCAGGCAGATCATTCTCACCCTTTTTCACAATAACCAAATTCAGAACAGAAAGATCAGGACTAACAATGCATCCACGGACAGACTTCCTTCTGCGCTCCCCATTTCGCCTACCATAGCCCCGGAAACAAGGAGTACCTGTTTAATGTGAACATAATTTGATACTTACAACATCAGCTACACACAACAAATATATACAATACACATGCGCCATTAAGCACCTTCTTGCAACTTTACACATACCTCTATACAGCAGAAGACGAACTCGGCCCGGAGTTAACACTCCCTGCTTCATTGGGAAACCTTGCTTGTCACATCCTCCCATAATCTTAAAAACATATCCCTTGAACTCCTGTCAATTGTTACGCATAACATTGTTAAAAGAAAGTTGACTAGATGGAAAGGTTACAACACGAAAACCACAAGTAAACAGAAACCTACGTCTCCCAAAGCATCTCCAGCAACCTCCTGGGAGATCCTTTTGTCAAAGAAAGCCCGGCTGCACAGCAAGAATCAAGCATCATTAACCAACAGTACTTACAGATGCACTCTTACATGTCACTTAACAATAATGAAATATTAGGACCTCCACGTAAATCAACCAGCATATATACATCACCATGCAACATTCAAAAGCATCATGTAATCAAGTAAAGTATTAACCAAATGTAATCTTATTTTCATCAATAAAAAGATACACGTCCAAAATTTTCTCACTACAACATTGTATGCACATATAAAGATCTTTGTGGAATTGCTAGATATCTAATGACGGGCCTAGGAAGGGAAACTTACGAACCAATTAACCAAACACCAGCATGCAAACCTAAAGCATTAGTTTCTATCAATGGTCGTTATTCCAAACAGAAGCAAAGATAGAAGATAGCAGTAAGGGATTTTTTGTTCCACAGACAAGTAACTGGATTAAAACAGAATGAATTATAATTACTGCATTGTTTAAATTCTTATTGAACATTTGGTTATGTGTATCAACTCAAGATATCTGGACATGTTCAACTTTAAATTGGACACATATTTGTTACCCAAAAAAAAAAAACTCAAGTGTCATTAAATTAATTTATCCAATTTTATTAGTTCGATTATCATATGTGATTAAAAACAATTGGCGTAAAAATTATTAATTGCCCATGTTTAAACATCTCAGATAGAAAGTACATTAAAAGGAACACATCCTATAAATATGAAATCTCATTTTCACCTCTCATAGTTCTCAGAAATCAATATCATAAATATTACTATTAGAAACAACTGAGAGATAGCAAGCAAATAAGTAGAAATGTAGAAGACATTCAACCAAATAACCACTATGAGGTAAGAGATCAAAACTGCATTCCGC